AGAGTTGATATATAGCCAGGGTCACTTTCTCCTCACCAGTGCACCCGAATACCTCCAAAGCAATGTAGCCTCAGGGTCACCTTTACCATCGAACTTCAGAGATTTCGATTTCAAATATTTTCCAACCAGCTGACGCATCTATCTGACTGCATTAACTTGCCCTTTACCTTGAATCCCAACATTTCCATTAACGGCGACAATAATGGCCTCAGCATCAGTGGCATTAGTAGCAACAGTAGCATTTCGCTCCTCAGTTTGCCTTCCCATTAAAATTCCAACTCCCTCGAGTGCCCTCAAAATCTCATCCCATCTGGAATCCTCTGCAACTCTAGCTTGCGAACCTACACGACCTCGACCTCGACCTCGACTGCTCAAACTCACAGGGTCACACCACTCACTTACCTGCTATAATTCCCCTCGGGAATTAAAGACCTAGACCAACTATACCAGTCTAAAGCCTTAGGCAGTGAATCACAACAATAATTCACTTAGCAGGCAGCCAATCATCCATGACACCAAATCACAACCACAATTCACAAAGCAGGCAGCAAATCACCAACATCACTCAATCACAACCAACAGGTTTCACGCACTTACCTCAAGTCCCGACGCACCTGCATTTCACATGTCATTGCATATAATCACTCAGCAATCACAATCACACGGTCTGGGATACGCATGGCACGCAAGACTCCTTAACTGACTACCCCAAAGTCATCGCTCTTTATCACTCCAGTTTCGACCATCTTGGTTCGAGATAACCTTGCTCTGATACCAAATCAACAGGGATGTCACGCCCCGAACCCCAACGGGCTCGCGACACCCCTTCCACGGTCGTATTAAACGCGACGTCCCAGGACGCGTCGCCGACCCAAACGAACTACGCAAGCGGAAGCGAAATAAAACAACCCAGACAGTAAAATATGACGAAGGGATAGCACAAAACAATAATTCCAAATACACAACATTAAAACGGAGTAGTGGTTGGATATCCTACTTCGCTATACAAAAGAGGGGCACACAAAAATATGGGGCAACTTGACCCGTACTTGATCTCCGAGATACCCTTGCAGCGTCTCCAGTCACTCATGGTCGCGGATCTGAAATGGTTATATAATAACCGTGAAAACGAGTCTCAATAAGCAACCCCCTATACCCCACGTAGGCCAATACGTACCCAGACAAGTCGTACATGCAATCTACCCAACAACATATAAAATTCACGTCATTGTACTTACCTCGCCATCAAACGCATGCTCTGCACGTTAGTTAAACGTGACAATGCAATATTAATAGTCTAACAACGTATCACAATCACTCAAGCACTAACTACACTAGCACTCAATCAATCCAACCAATTCAATCACACATTCAATCAGCCAGTCCAATCAATTCAATCACACTCAACTCGCATACGTGGCCGAACAACTTTCCACGACCTCCCAGGTCCTTTCACACTGCCCGCGCCATTGCGCCTCAGGCCCAATCTCACGGCCAGCGCCCTTGCGCCTCGGGCTCGGCCCTTAGATCAAGCCGGGCTCGGTCCCGCGTAACCACGCCTCGGGACATTTCGCTCGACCCGCGTAACTACGCCTCAGGTCATTACTTGCCTTTCTAGCCACACCCGCGTAACCACGCCTCAGGTTGGCAGCCCTCAGATCAAGCCGGGCTCAGTCCCACGTAACCACGCCTCAGGACATTTCTCTCGACCCGCGTAACCACGCCTCAGGTCATTACTTGCCTTTCTAGCCACACCCGCGTAACCACGCCTCAGGTTGGCAGCCCTCAGATCAAGCCGGGCTCAGTCCCGCGTAACCACGCCTCAGGACATTTCTCTCGACCCGCGTAACCACGCCTCAGGTCATTACTTGCCTTTCTAGCCACACCCGCGTAACCACGCCTCAAGTTGGCAGCCCTCAGATCAAGCCGGGCTCAGTCCCGCGTAACCACGCCTCATGACATTTCTCTCATGCACATGCACCACCACACAATCTGTCATCTAACACGTCGTACATTTCACAATCAAATTACCAAGCTCACACCAATGTCAATCTGACACACTCTAACAGCCAATTTAATTCACACTCCCCACATCAGTCCACCGATCCGACATTCATGTCGGCACATTCAAATAATCCAATTCACCCACAAGCGCCACGACAATTCAGTCGGGCATATTTATCTCAGTCAATCACTAAATCAGCCGCACAATTATCGCCACAATAATTCACCAATTAAGCACAATCAGTCTAATTAGCCCACGCCTAATTAAATTCCTAAGCCGGTACTAAATTTCACCCTAAACAAGTCTAAAAATACCCAAAGTACTAGGTTAGGTTTAGGAAGTCACTTACCTAAGTTTGGCCCGGGAAAAGTCGGCTCGGGCCCAAAATAGCCTGGGTGAACGATCACGGGCCAGGCGCGGGCGCGGGCCAACAGCGCGCGGTGGCCGGCCAACGCGGCACAATGGCCGATCGGCGTGCTGGCAGCGCGGGCGCGATGGCCGTGCGGCGTGCCGGGGCGCACGGGCGAACGGACGGGCGACGCGCCAGTCGGATGGGCGACAGCGCTGGTCGGACGGGCACGGCGCCGGGCGAGCTCGGCCACGGGCGCGGGCACGAGGCGCGAGGCAAGGGCACGGGCGCGGGCGTGGGCGCGCGGCTTGGTCGCGTGGGCGACAGGCCGGCCACGGCACTGGGCTGGTTGGCCAGAAATTTGTGTGGCTGGGGTGGCGGCCGGCGACAGCGGCGGCGGCGGTGACGGCGGCTGCGCAGCGACGGCGGCAGCGAGCGAGCGGGGGAGAAAAAGAGTGAGCCGGGGGGTGAGGATGAGGGAGAGAGGGATCGAGGCGAGGAGGTGGCGAACCGGCAGCGACGGGGCAGCACGGCGGCGAGCTGGACGGCGGAGCGGGTCGGCGAAGCGGCGACGACGGGACGGGCTGGGCCCGCGGCGGTCACGAGGCGAGCTCCACTTTGCTCGTGCGAACGAGGGGAGGGGAGAGGACAGGCCGGTCGGGGCGGCGGGCGACGGACGGCGTGACGGCGGCTGAAGCTTGAGCTTGCTAGCGGCGGCGGCGGTGGCGCGGCGTCGGGCGGAGGCGAAAAAGGCGGTCGGCAGCGGCCCGGGCGGGCGGGCGAGCACAGAGGCGGAACCCGGTCGGGCCAAGGAGGAAGAAGGAAAGGAGAAGGAAGAAGAAAGAGAAAAGGAAGAAAAGAGGAAAAAGAAGGAGAGAGAGAGAGTGGTTGCATGGGGAAGGGAACTGACAGGGATGGACGTCTGCATGGGGGGAGACGTGCGCGGCCAGAGGGGAAAAAGAGAGAGAGAGAGATAGAGACGTGCGTGAGGGGACGTTGCACGGGAGTGGGTGGCGCGGCGCAGAGGAGAAAGGAGAGAGAGAAAGAAAAAAGCTACTTTTTGTCTTCGAGCGCGATCCAACGGACACGGTTCAAACTAAAAATCGACTTAACGGTCACGATTCAAATTCGGAAAAAGATCTAACAGTTCACGAAAAATCCCAAATAATAATATAGGACAAATGGTCAAAATAAAATAACTCAAAATACACTACGAGGGAGGTCTACTAGTCCAAATTCGCACCCGATCAAAAATTCACTTTTCACATATTCCTGATAATCTTGATGCTGGCCACAATAATATCGAGACCGTCCAATTTATTTCGTCCCGAAACTCCCGAAAATCGACTGCCAAGTTCGAGGTCTAAATAACGACCAAATTCGATCGAATGCGATTCTAGCGAAATCTCTATTTTAAAAACGGGAACCCGAGAGTGATCAGTTCCCGGGCGAGATTCCATTATAAGCGTACTGACGGATTACACGTTTTATAAAACCCAAAAATGAGCCGAAATTCGGGATGTCAGAAAACAGATCCATCTTCGACTGTAAAATGTACATGAGCCTAGATTGTATCTCCTTTCCATAGAAGGGCTAGAACTCCCAATGCAAAAAAAAAAAAAAAAAGGACTGTTGTGTGGGTAGGCACATGACTACTTTTTTTTTTTTGTTGACATAGAGTTTATATTTTCTCATTTTCTTAATTAGTTCCTTAATTGGTCACTTGACTAATAATAATTCAAGAGACACTCTTTCGACAGCTTCCTTGAAAAATGGTATTCATGTATCGTTAATAGGTGTTGACACCTGAATTTTTATAAACCAATCGAATATGCCTCTTTTAAAGAATTAATAAATAAATAAAAAACAAATAAGGATCAATGAAAGATCCATCCATGGAGGAGTCCGGCCACATTCATTCCATTTGGGCTTAACGCAATCTAGCCCATCAAGCAAGGATATTACAAAATCCTCGGATTTCATATCCTATCATGTCCGGTCCTATTTTAGGCCAGCGAATGTAGCCCCGAAATTCCACAAATACAGCACCCAAATTGGCGAAGTTCCAATTCCGTTGAGCCCATATCAAGCACGGTAGCCCAGACAACGACGAGGATCCACCATCTCCAACTCAATCTCTCTCTCTCTTCCATCGCTCTGAGTTGCTCCGCCATCTTGATTCAACTTCCAGATACGACACTCTCGAAGTGTCGTATCTGGAGTTTGCTTCTTGATGGAGTCATCTTCTTCTTCTTCTCGGCAAGCACAACCTCCATAGACGAAGCTCTCCAGCTCAATAGTAGTAGGAATTTGATCATCCCACGACTCCCGCTCGTCGCACCACCCAAAAACCAACGGGATCTTCACCAACGAAGCCGAAATTTACTCATCCTGACATATGTTTGATTACGGAATCGGCACCGTGCGCGGCTTCAAAGGCTTCTTCGCGCTACCGTCTCCCTTTCTCCTGCAACATTCAGAGGATGACGTCTCGGGCGTCCTCGTTCCAGCCCGCTGATAACCCTATTCTCCTTCCCCTCTGGTGCGCCTGATGTTGCGCGACCTGGTATTGCGACTCTGTCCCAGAGGATTCGGCCTTCTGGGGTTGGCGAATCTTCAAAAACTCGATCATCCTTACCATATCTGCACGCAAAGCTCCATCGACAACGTGCGGTTCCACATCGCGCCGAATGGGTACCTCGCGATTGTCCCGACCCCATCAAACCTTCGGGTGGAAGCTATTATAGTGGCAAATGAAGCGGCGCGCACGTTCAAAACAGGTGCAGCTCTATTTATTGATCGAATCAGGGTACGCCTACGTACTGCGAGTAATAGGAATCTATATGCCTCCTTCAGCGGAATACATCGGTTTTGGTTCTCCCTGGCATGAGGTATAAGGAAGCTTCCTTAGCTATTGATCCAATGTGGCCAAATGGATGATGCACGGTGACTGTTCGATGATATGCCTCAGTGGAATAGCTTCACTCGGAACACACATAGACTGAAGGACCGGAGTGTGAGGAGTAACTCAATTAGTGGAGCCAATTCATGTGCTTGTAACGCCAAGACTAAACGGCCGTGTCCTCAGGATCCCACGTGTTAAAGCAACAGGACCATCTTGATGATCAAGCCATCGGGAAGCTGAAAATACTTGACGGTATTAAATCTAGATTATACATCACTTAAGCCTCGTCTAATTGATAGCCACAGCTGTGCCTCCACCAACTAAATGGTCCGGCATGCATATATCCTCAGATTGGTTTTACCACTGAAGATTGTAAGATCACTGGAGATCACTACATATTGTCGGAGTGTCAAGTGTTTTCAGTTTTGGACATTCGTCCATGCACATTGCCGGCTGTCGCCTCAAAGGACATGTTCATCGTCAACAAAACCGAGGATCAATTATCCTCAAGAAATCTGCAAAGGCGTGGCATTTACTCATAATAGGTGCCCATTGGCAACTTCATTCTCTCTCCTATGTGACTTGACACAGATTAGGTTTGGGATGGCGAATTGCAAGACACCTTAAGATGAAGTAGCCATACTGCTTTGATGGTGGAATATGACCATGGCAAGGTAAGAATTCCCGTATCTGCGAGATCGCAGCAGTCATTGAGTTATGCAAACTCATCATGTTCAGGTCTAGACATTGATACTCTTAGTGCGTGGCCTCATTCAACTGTGTTTATTATCCTATGTTTGGTAATCCTGCATTGAATTTCCACTTTCTATAAATAAATGTCATTGGAGAAGAAATAAGAACAAACTATTCCGATGCATGCTGACATGGATTCATGGTACTGCGTCGAAACTGTTGTGCTATGTAGTGACATGAAAAAAATAATAATTTTGAATAGTTTGAATTTTCTACGAGAGCGAATCGGAGGAAAAAGGAAAAATTTTCTTCACCCACCTCATTTTTCCTCTTTCCTCCCTCTCCCAAACAAAGCATTAAAATAGTACCAAAAGATCATGCCCCGCTCATCTGTAAAAGTCCCAAATTAACCGGATAACTTTCTTGATATTTCCAGATTGATGGGGGTGTGAATCCTTTTATGCCCATTTAGTGAGTCCTTATGCTAGCCTATTTATATGGATTCTCATGGTATTTCACTCTGTGATAGTTATATTTCTGCAGATTATTATATCGTGAATGTCCAAAAAATATAAGAAATCATTACAGACAAGAACAAATCGTTGGACTTATGGAACAAGAAACGGAATTATTGTTATATATGAAAGAACAGATGAGTGGACTTATATTACATGGTTTCATTCTACTGCGTCAAAATTGATATACTATGCCGTGACATGAAGGAGAAGAAGTTTTGAGGCAAGCTATTTCTCATTTTTTGATATTGTTCCTAGAAACTATACATCAATTTTCCCATGGTCGTGACTCGTGTGGCGAAGAAAGAAGATGGAGAAGAAGAAGGGAGGAGGAAAAAAACGAAGAAGAAAATAAGAGGAAAGGGGGGAGAGAGAGAGAGATGGATTTGTTTGTTGACTTGACGGGATGTGGAACCAACAATCACGGGAAGACTGGAAGAAATTTTTGAAATTTCAATGGGTGTAAATTTCCAGGATGAACCAACAATCACGGGAAGAGAGTGGAAGAAACTTTTGAAATTTCAATGGGTGTAAATTTCCAGGATGCCCTGGATATGACTCCCCTAATAATGAAACTTCAGTTTGGGTCCACCTCTCTAATTTCTTTTTTTTGTTTTGTTATCAATACCTCTTTAATTTCTTGACTTGCATGCATTTGTTAAACTTGGGCTTTTCTATCAGACGAGGCGACCCCAAGTCTCCAATCAAACGAGGTTCATCCCATCTTTTTTCAATTGTCTTATATCGTGCCTCTCCTCCACACACACCAGGCAATTTTTACCAATTGCTGTTTGCCCAAAGACAATCAGAAACATGATTAATGCTCTCAGCTCCATGAATGTCTATGAAGTGCTGCTACTTCTTGTCCTACTGCAAGTGATGACTAACGATGCCGGGTCGAGTATTCCGTGGTGCGTCGCTTCATCCTGTGGTGACATTCGCAATATAAGTCACCCGTTTCGATTGAAAAGTGACCCGAAGGGATGCGGTGATCCAAAGAAAGAGTTGGTTTGTGAAGATAATCGCACTGTTCTATATTTTCATGATGGATGATTCTATGTGCAGTCTATCAATTATTCCAACTACTGCTTCCTCGGTTTGGCCATTAGATAATTACGGTGGGGAGATTACTATTACACTTTTTACATTTTACTTAATCTAATTGTACGGAGAGCATAATTTTAATTTTTTTAACTCTAAATACCTGAAATTTTCATCACATACAAACATTGAAATGTAATATCACATATACTTATTTCATAATTTTTCTTAAATAATTCAGGTAGTACTTTAACTTTTGACGGAATGGTAAAAGCAAACGCGCTGACTTCTCAATTTTTTGTAAGGTTCTAATTAAAAATCAAGTTTTTTTTTTAAATCTCTTTAAGGCGTTTCGTTAAGAGACATAAGTTGGGGAAAATTGTCCAAAAAGTCTTAATCTATTGTACTTTTGTCAATTCAGTTATAAATCTTTTCATATTTTGCCAATGTAGTCCATCTGATCATTTTTGGCCGGAAATCGTTGACATGGAAGTAAGCTGTCCAACGTAGTATGGCACGACCAATTTTGGTTAAACTCGTGAAATTGTTTTTGAATGACTTATCAAAGGATCCCATGTGTTAAAGCAACTGGACCAACTTGATGAACCAGCCATTGAGAAGTTGAACATAATTAACAATATTAAATCTCCGATTAGACATCGCTTAAATCTCGTCTAATTGACAGCTACAGCGGCTCCACTAACTAAATGGTCCAGCGTGCATTGTTCCTCGGATTGGTTTTACCACTGAAGATTGTAAAATCACTAGAGATCACTACATATTATCGGAGTGTCAAGTGTTTACAATTTTGGACATTTGTCCATGCACATTGCCGGTTATCACCGCACAGGACATATTCATCGTCAACAAAATCGATGATCCATTATCCTCAAGAGATCTGCAAAGACATGGCAACTTCATTCTTTCTCCTATGTGACTTGACACAGGTTAGGCTTTGGAATGACGAATTGCAGGACACCATAGGATGAGCTAGCCACACTGCTTTGATGGTGGAATACAACCATGGCAAGGTAAGAATTCCTATATCTGCAAGGTTGCAGCGATCATTGAGTTATGCAAACTCCTCACATTCAGGTTTGAACATTGATATTCTTAGTGTGTGGCCACGTTCTACTGCGTTTCTTAAGTATTATCCTATGTTTGGTAATCCTGCATTGAATTTCCACATTCTATAAATAAATGTCATTGGAGAAGAAATAAGAACAAACTATTCCAATGCATTCGGACATGGTTTCATGGTATTGCGTCAAAACTTATGTACTATGTAGCGAGATGAAGAAAAACTAATTTTGAAAAGTTTGAATTTTCTGCGAGATTGAATTGGAGGAAAAAGGAAAAATTTTCTTCACCCACCTACTTTTTCCTCTTTCCTCCCTCTCCCAAACAAAGAATTAAAATAGTATCTAAAGATCATGCCTCGCTCCTGTGTAAAAGTGCCAAATTAACCATATAACTTTCTTGATATTTCCAGATAACAGTTGGGGTGTGAATCCTTTTATGCCCATTTAGCGAGTCCTTATGCTGGCCAATTTTCTACTCTTATTGTATATGAATTCTTATTGTATTTTACTATGTGATAGTTATATATCTGCATATTTTTGTATCATGAATGTCAAAAATATATAAGAAATCATTGCATATAAGAACAAATTGTTGGACTTATGTAACAAGCAACGAAATTATTGTTCCATTTGAAAGAACAGTTCAGTGGACAAATATAAAATGGATTCATGGTACCGCGTCAAAACTGATGTACTATGTCGTGACACGGAAGAAAAAGTAGTTTTGGGCCAAAATAGTTTTTATTTTTGATATTGTTCCTTAAAACTATACATCAATTTTCCTATGATCGTGACTCGGGGCAAAGAAAGAAGATGGAGAAGAAGAAGGGAGGAAGAAAAAAAACGAAAGAAGAAAATAAGAGGGAAAATAGCGTATCATAAGAAGGGAGTGACGGGGAGAGAGGGAGAGAGATGGATTTGTTTGTTGACGGGATGTGGAGCCAACAATCACGTGAACAGAGTGGAAGAAACTTTTGAATATTCAAAAGGTGTAAATTTCGTAGACTGTAGGTCATTAAAGGGGGTCTCATTTAGGGTTGGACACGACTCCACCAATAATGGAACTTCAGTTTGGGTCCACCTCTTTAATTTCTTGACTTGCATGCATTTGTTCCATTGACTGACTTGGGCTTTTCTATAAGTTCAGGCCACTCCAAGTCTCCAGTCAAACAAGGTTCATCCAATCTTTTTTGCATCTTCTTATATGGTGCCTGCCTCCACACACACCAAGCAATCCTTTACCAGTTTCTCTTTCCCTAAAGACAAACAGAGACATGTTTAATGCTCTGAGCTCCGCGAATGTCTATCCAGTGTTGCTACTCATTCTTGTTCTACTGCAAGCGATGACTAGCGATACTAGGTCGAGTAATTCTCGATGCATTGCTTCATCCTGTGGTGACATTCGCAATATAAGTCACCCATTTCGACTGAAGAGTGACCCGATGGGATGCGGTAATCCGAAGTCCGAGCTGGTTTGTGAAGATAATCGTACTATTATGTACGTCTTTGATGGCCGATTCTACGTCCAGTCCATCAATTATTCCACTTACAAAATTAGATTGGTCGACGATGGACTGCAAAAGGGTAATTGCTCATCTCTCCCCCGTCATTCATCGGCGAGGCATAGCTTCTCCTTCTTTGTAGACATCTCATACGGTGTGTACATCTCATACGTTGTGGACATCAGCGATATATTTGTCATTGTAAACTGCTCAAAGCCGGTTCATTCTCCATCTTACATCTCTACCCGTCCATGCATTGAGGAGTCATACTCATCCAGCGTGTCATCAACTTGGAACTTGTATGCTTTGGTTAATCCAAATGCTTCGGATGTGAGGGATTTTTGCACCATTAGCAGTTGGGCGTGGGTATCACGTGTTTCGGAGCCTGATAAGCAGATTACTATTAGCTCCTACAACTACGAGCTAATCCATAACAGCATGACCGAAGGATTTGATCTCGACTTTCGTGGTTGGTATAGTCCATGGAAGAAAACTGTTTTTTGCTACCTTGATTTCTATATCAACTTCCACTTCCGCAACGACTTTTTTCAGAAGCACTACGTGAGCGGCGGCCAGGTTTGCGGATCCAAGTACTACTTGGGCGGTAAGCATCGGTTGGCAATGAAATTTTACCCCAATATTGCAGAATTCCGTGCACTTGTTTTTTTTTTTTTTGGGTCGAAGATTCTGTACACTTGTTTTTTTTATGGTCGAAGATTCTGTACACTTGTTCACTTGCTACTTTCTCTTCAAAACTGGAAAGTGAAACAAATATCTCATATCCAAGATAATTATGACGAAATATAATTGATAGTATACGTCAACGTTGTGTATTTGAAAGGTTTCGGGAGCAAAAAAAATTAATTAAATCAAGAGACACTTGTTAGTATTCCTTAAATAATTGTATTCATGTATGGACGGAGGAACAAAATTATTAATTAACTAAAAGTGAAAATCACTGTGCCTAGATTATAATTCCTTTCCACAAAAGGGCTAGATTTCCCACTGTAAAAAAAGAAAAGAAAAAGAAAAAGGATTCTTGTGCGAGCAATCACTTGACTAGTTTTTGTTGGCATAGAATTTACATTTCCTTAATTTCTTAATTAGTTCTTTAATTAGTCACTTAACTAATAATCCAGGAGACGCTCCTTAACATTCCTTAAAAGTTTTAGTCATGTATCGGTGGTAGGAGGAACAAAATTAATAATTTATTAAGAAAATCACTATTTCTCAAGATTTGTTGACCACTAACAAAGCGAAAAGGAGTTTCTTGTAACGCCTACCATCTATGTACGAAGCTTATTCTTTGCATTTATTTGTAGATGCATGCATGCCACTACTCATATTCTTTTGGACAAAATTCAACTTATACAAAGTAGCAGGCTACTACTCTGTTTCCTCGTGAGTTTTGTTTTGCAAACTTCTTTTCCTTCAATTCCTTTTCACACCATTCATTACTTCCACAGGTGTCCAAGATGATATTGCAATTTGGACTGCTGGAGATTTTATAATACTATTGGGTAAGCCGCAATGATTTGCTCTTACAATAATTATGAAGATAATTCTAACCTATCAAAATTTTCTTCAGTGCTTTTCTGTGTAGCGAAATTCGTAATCGGGACACCGTTTGTTGCGATATTTCTAGTCTACAAGTACCGAAGAAGACACTTAGCAATGGACAGGAATATTGAAGAATTCTTGCAAACTCATAACAACTTTTTGCCCATAAGGTACTCTTACTCTAATATTAAAAAGATCACCAGAAACTTTAAGCACAAACTGGGTGAAGGGGGGTATGGTTCCGTGTACAAAGGAATGCTCAGAAGTGGCAATGAAGTGGCCATTAAGATTTTGAAGGCCAAGATTTTATTAGTGAAGTGGCTACTATTGGAAGAATTCACCATGTTAATATAGTGCAACTCATCGGTTTTTGCTTTGAAGGCTCGAAACAAGCTCTCGTGTATGATCTCATGTCAAATGGATCCTTGGACAAGCACATTTTTGCGGAGGAAGGTGATAAGTTTCTTGATTATAAGAAAATATATGAGATTTCTCTTGGGGTGGCGAGGGGGATTGAATACTTACATCGGGGGTGTGACATGCAAATACTACACTTTGATATCAAGCCTCATAACATCCTTTTAGACAAGAATTTCACTCCGAAAGTTTCTGATTTTGGACTCGCGAAACTTTATCCCACGGATCATAGCATAGTTTCATTGACTGCTGCAAGAGGAACCTTGGGATATATGGCGCCCGAGTTGTTCTATAAAAACATCGGTGGCATATCTTATAAGGCAGATGTCTATAGCTTCGGGATGTTGCTAATGGAAATGGCAGGTAGAAGGAAGAATACAAATGCAAATGCAGAACACTCGAGCCAAATTTATTTTCCGTTGTGGATATACGACCAAGTCAGTGAAGGTGCAAGTGTTGAAACGGAAGAAGATGTAGAAGAGGAAAGGAAGGTGATAAAAAAGATGATAGTAGTTGCACTTTGGTGTATACAATTAATCCCTGACCATCGGCCTCCAATGAACAAAGTCTTAGAAATGCTTGAAGGAGATTTTGGTAATATTCAAATGCCTCCAAAACCGCATATTTACCCACCAAACGAGCCAGTTGACGATGACAAAGTCGACACGGAATTAGAAACATTCTCGACTTCATCAAGTGCTCCCATAATTTCTGCTAGTTTTCCGTTTGGAGATAGCAATGATGTTTAGAGGATCATGCACAGTTTGATTGTAAAAGCTTTGTTCCCCACAGTACTGTGTTATGTTGGGCGGGAGTTTAGCTAGTTCAGCTTGACAGTGATTACATTTTGTTTTCTTCTAGCTCTTAGGCTACTGTTGTGTTATTGTGGTTCCTATATAGTTTCACTCTCTTGCATCCTCCTTCGAATGGACATAAGAGAGCAAGGACAAAAATCGGTGGGGCAAAGGGACGGACATTGAGAATTTTCTTCCCTTATTATGTGATTTAGGTTCATGCCAATCAAAAAGCTAATTATAACTTGCCATCTTGCTTCTTAACGTGCTACTACCGGCATATGGTTTCTTTGTATTAAGAGTTGCTAATTTCAAATTATGAAATCAATTGCAGAGAAAACGTCCGTTTCACAAAGTAGACACCATCTATCTACGCGAGAAACAACTTTTATCAAAATGGGAAAAAATAAGGTCTTAGATGAAACAATTCCATGAAGTTCACATTTGAAAGAACTCATATTGGGTTCTAAAAATAACGTGCAATTACTGATAACTAATTCTATGAAGTTTTCTTTGTCTCTTTCAATATTTGGCCATGTTTAATTAGTTTAACTTGATAGACTTTTTCATCTCTATGTCTGATAAACAAAAATGTTATTTGATTTAGTGGCATGGATTACTTTCAACTTCCCTAAAATTAGATATATCGTATAACTAAACACACATCTTGACGAACTGGACTGATTGGCTAGTCGAATAAAGAAACCAGGTTATGTTTCGAATACTGAATTTGTTCTTCATGATGTCGAAGATGGACAAAAGGAACAATATTTGCTCTAGCACACTGAAAAAATTGTTGTTGTCTTTGGCCTTCTAAGCGCCTCCAATCTGAAAATCTATAAGGGTGTTTAAAGAATCTTTGCATTTTCCGGAATTTGTCATTCCGTGATCAAGTATATCTCCATGGCAACCGGAAGATCTATTGTTGTAAGGGATGCAAACCGGTTCCACCATTTTACGGACGGAAAATGCTTAAGCAATGACTACTGATGCCGATATTTCTTAATGTGTCTCATTCATTGCGTGCATCGAATTCCTATTTTAGATGTTTTTCCCTCCTACACATGTTAGTTGAACCGGGATTCTATTATACCCCTTGCAAGCCCAACAATGTAAGTGCCATGTCCTGAAATGTATTTGACTTTGGTTCTCGTACTGTCAAAATACCAAGCAAAAGACCCAATATGGATCTCGCAAATTTTTAGCAATATGATTCTTGGAACCTAAAGTAGTCACGCTTTTGAATCCTAGATACAGATATTTTGTTTTATTCCAGAGCGTTCCAATATCACTAGGGTGTCGACACCTGAATTTTTACGGACCAATCGAATATGCATTTTTTTATAGAAATTTTTTTAATAAATAAAATAAATAGAGTATAGAGAATGAAAAACAAAAACGATATTCCTTTTCAATGGAGTCTTCTTCTTCTTGTCGCAACCCTGACCTCCACAGACGAAGCTCTCAAGCTCAACAGTAGGAATTGATGATCCACGACTCACGCTCATTGCACCACCAAAACCAATAGTATCTTCAGTCACCAACGATGCCGCAACTAACTCATCCTGACATATGTTTGATTACGGAATCGTCGTCGCGCACCGCTTCAAAGGCTTCATCGCACTACCGTCTCCTATTCTCCTTCGCCTCTCACGCGCCTGATGTTGGGCGACGCGGCATTGCGGCTCTGTACCAGCGGGATTCGGCCTTCTGGTTCTGGCGTTGGCGAGAAAGATCAAGTAAACCTGAACTGGCGAATCTTCAAAAGCTCGATGATCCTTACCATCGCCGATTTCTCGATTCTTATCCGCACGCAAGGCTCCATCGGCAACGTGCGTTTCCGCATGGCGCCCCGAATCGGTACGTCGCGATGGTCCCGACCTCATCGAACCTTCAGGTGGAAGTTAGTATAGTGGCAAATGAAGCGGCGTGTACACTCAAAACAGGTACGACTCTATTGATTGAATCAGGGTACGTCTACGTACCCCGAGTAATAGGAATCTGCATGCCTCCTTCAGTGGAACACATTGGTTTTGGTTCTCTCCGTTATGAGGTAAAAGGAAGCTTTCTTAGCTATTATTGATCCAATGAGGCCAAATGGACAATGCACGGTGAGTGTTTGATGATATGCCTAAGAGGAATAGCTTCACTCGGAACACCTAGACTGGAGGACCTGAGTATGAGGATCGACTCTTTTAGTGGAGCCCATTTCTGCTGAGATCCGAAACTGTAGTTCTTTGCAAATGCTTTATCTCGAAGGGAATGTACTTGCTGGGAAGGTTTCTTAATTCTTAGATGAATTCAGGGGTTTTGAGAGTTTTTTTTGTCTCTTGGAGATAAACTGTTTCTCAAGTTTAGTTCCTGCAAGTATCACTAATCTCATGGGGACTTGAAGCTTTGAATTGAAGAAGCAATAGCTTCATTGGTAGTTTGCGGGAGCAAATAACGGAGATGAGCATCTTGATTAATTTTGGACTTCAGTGGAAATAGAATCTTAGAGCCAATTCCAGTTGCTTTGGGTGATCTTCTTTTTAAGCCAACCGCCTGTGGTTCGAGCAAGTAGAATTTGTCTGGCGAGTTGCCGGTTGAGCTCATAGGCTTGCTCAGTTTGCAAGTCCCTGCTTTACAAGAGAGCAAGCATGTTATGTGGTGATGTTCCTGAAGGGTTTAGTAGTTTGGTTCTCTAATTGTGTACAGTTCAAGAGAAGACGGATTCAGTTTGTCTATTCCACATTAGATAAGAGCTACGGTGGCATTCATGCTTCTGCTGGTGCTTGCTTACCCCCTTGACGATGTAATCATCCCCTTCTCACCGCCTTTGTTGAATCCTCGTCATTCACGATCACTACTATCACTGAACCATCGCTATCGCTGAGGTGCAACATGCTGGTTGCCTCACGGAATCGTCGTGCCAAATTACCGAAACTTTGCAGGAGGGTCGCGGCGGTAGGAACAAAATTATTTATTCATAATGAAAAATCACCGGTTCGTTATATATGTTGACTACTAACAAAGCAAAAGGAGTTTCTCACATCGTCTATCATCTATGTAAACGAAGCTTATTATTCCCATTTACTCGCAAATGCACTCATACCACTCTGTTTCCTCGTGAGTTTTGTTTTCCATACTTCTTTTCCTTCAATTCTTTTTCACATCTTTCATTCCTTCCGCAGGTGTCCTAGATGATATTGCATTTTGGACAACTTTAGATTTTATATTTCTAGTAGGCATGCAGAAATGTTTTGTTAAAATAATTTAAAAAATAAAACTATTCTAACCTATCAAAGTTTTCCTCATTGCTTTTCCGTGTAGCAAAGTTCGTAAGTAGGACACCATTTGTCGCGATATTTCTAATCTACAAGTATAGAAGAAGGCACTTAGCAATGGACAAGAACATCGAAGAATTTTTGCAAGCTCATAACAACTTTTTGCCCATAAGGTCCTCTTACTCAAATATAAGAAGATTGCCAGAAATTTTAAGCACACACTAGAGGAAGGGAGGTATGGTTACATGTACAAGAAATGCTTGGAAGTGGCAACGAAATGGCCATCAAGATTTTAAAGCAGTCCAAGGCCCATGGCCAAGATTTTATCAGTGAAGTGGCTGCTATTGGAAGAACTTACTATGTTAATATAGTGCAACTCATTAGTTTTTGCTTTGAAGGCTCGAACTAGGCTCTCGTGTATGATCTCATGTCAAATGGATCCTTGGATAAGCACATCTTCACGGACGAAGGTGATAAGTTTCTTGGTTACATGAAAATATATTAGATTGCACTTGGAATGGCGAGGGGGATTAAATACTTACATTGGGCGTGTGACATGTAAATACTACACTTTGATGTCAAGCCTCACAACATTCTTTGAGACAAGAATTTCACTTCGAAAGTTTTTGACTTTGGACTAGTGAAACTTTATCCCACTGATAATAGCATAGTCTCATTGACTACCACAAGAAGAACCTTGGGGTATATGGCGACCAAGTTGTTCTACAAAAACATTGGTGGTGTATCTTATAACTCAAACGTCTATAACTTCAGGATGTTGCTTATGGAAATGGCAGGTAGAAGTAGACATGGCCACAGGCCGGTTTCGAGGTCAAACCCGGGCTCGACTCGTTGATCGGGCCCGCGGTTCGGAACCAGAACCGGCCCGTGGCCTACGGGTCCGGTTCCGGTTCCAAATTATTATTTTTAAAAAAAATTCATTATTTAATTTTTTTTATAAAACAATTTGAACTCTAATTGCCATGCATTGTAAGTGCATTGATCTCTAATTACAATGGTTAGCTTGGGTGTATTGAACTTTAATTACAAGGCTTGGCTTGGGTTTTATACACAATGATTGTAATGCCTCTTCGTTTCCATTCGATGTGGGACTCTCGGCTTGCCTTAAACACCTTCAATGTGAGACTCTTGGCTTGTCTTTATGCAAATGCCAAGAGTCCCACATCGAATGGGAATGAAGATACCATCAAAGGGGTTGTATATAAACCCCAAGCCATGCCATGAGCATGTGAAGTTGTATGCCTTTTGTGGCTATGATCCTTTGCTAGTTAAAGAACAAAGGGTTTCATTGGACTGCCTAAAATCGGACCGGACCAATGGTCCGGTTCCCGGTTCCATGATTTGCCGGTCCGGTTCCTAGTTCTAAAATTAAGGGACCGGTCTTACCGGTTCGATTCCCGGTTCCGAGCGGAACCGGACTGAACCAGGAACTGATCACCCCTATAATTTATATTTTGATTACAATTTATATTGAATAATTTATTATTTTATAATTTTATAATTCATTATTTTTTTTTCATAATTTTTTTTTAATTTTTAAATTACGAATCGGAACCGGCCTAACGTTTGAAATCGGAACCGGCCTAACGTTTGTGACTTAGTTTAGCAAATATGAAATAAATATCAAGTGATTAAGCGCCCACGATGGAACAGAAAGAATTTAAAGAAGGCGGAGAAGAGGGGAGGAGGAAACAAACGAAGAAGAAAATACGAAGAAAGATTGCGTATCAGAAGGAAGTGACGGGGTGACAGAGATAATAGGGAAAAAGCATCTTTTGAATTTTGCCGACAAAAACAAATTAGGGTTGGACACGACTCCACCAATAATAAAACTTCAGTTTGCATGCTTCTCGCTATAAGACCAGGTGACTCCCCAAGTCTCCAATCAAACAAATCGTCCAATCTTTTCTCATTCTTTTCATATTGCGCCTCCTCTGAAGACACACACTAAGCAATTCTTTACCAATTTCTCTTTGCCCAGAGACAAATATCGGCATGATTAGTGCTCTCAGCTCCGTGAATGTCTATCCATTGTTGCTGCTCATTCTTGGTCTGCTGCAAGCGGTGACTAGCTACGCCCGATCGAGTAATCCGCTGTGTGTCGCTTCATCCTGTGGTGATATTCGCAATATACATCGCCCGTTTCGATTGAAGAGTGATCCGAAGGGATGCGGTGACTCAAAACATGAGCTAACTTGTGAAAATAATCGCACTATTGCGTACTTGCTTGATGGCCGATTCCGCGTGCAGTCCATCAATTATTCCGCCTACAAAATCAGATTGGTCGACGATGGGCTGCAAAAGAATAATTGCTCGTCTTTCCCCCGTCATTCATTGGCGATCCTTAGCTTCTATTCCGATCCAAACATCTCATACGGCAAGTACAGCAGCGATACATTTGTCATTGTAAACTGCTCAATGCCGGTTAGTTCTCCATCTTACATCGCTACCCGTCCATGCATTGAGGGGTCATACTCATCCAACGCGCCATCAACTTGGAACTTGTATGCTTTGGTTAATCCCAATGCTTCGGATGTGAGGGATTTTTGCACCATCAGCAGTTGGGCGTGGGCATCACCTGTTTTTGAGCCTGATAAGCAGATTAATATTAGCTCCTACAACTACGAGCTAATCCATAACAGAATGGCCGAAGGATTTGATCTCTCTTTTTCTCCAGCTATGAGCAAAACTTTCGTTTGCTATTTGGATTTCTATATCTACTTCCACTTCCACAACTACTTTTTTTACAAGTACTACGATAGCGGACGTCAGGTTTGCAGATCCAAGTTATACTTTGGCGGTAAGCATTGGTTGGCAATGAAATTTTACCCCAATATTGCAGAATTCCGTACACTTGTTTTTTTTATGGTCGAAGATTCTGTACACTTGTTCACTTGCTACTTTCTCTTCAAAACTGGAAAGTGAAAGAAATATCTCATATCCAAGATAATTATGACGAAATATACGTGATAGTATACGTCAACGTTGTGTATTTGAAAGGTTTCGGGAGCAAAAAAAAATAATTAAATCAAGAGACACTTTTTAATATTCCTTAAATAATTGTATTCATGTATGGACGGAGGAACAAAATTATTAATTAACTAAAAGTGAAAATCACTGTGCCTAGATTATAATTCCTTTCCACAAAAGGGGTAGATTTCCCACTGTAAAAAAATAAAAGAAAAAGAAAAAGGATTCTTGTGCGAGCAATCACTTGACTAGTTTTTGTTGGCATAGAATGTACATTTCCTTAATTTCTTAATTAGTTCTTTAATTAGTCACTTAACTAATAATCCAGGAGACGATCCTTAACATTCCTTAAAAATTGTAGTTTTGTATCGGTGGTAGGAGGAACAAAATTATTAGTTTTTTTTATTTATGAAAATCACTATTTCTCTAGAGTTGTTGACCACCAATAAAGCGAATGGAGTTTCTTGTAACACCTACCATCTATGTCCGAAGCTTATTATTTGCATTAATTTGTAGATGTACGCATGCCACTACTCATATTCTTTTGTACAAAATTCAACTTATACAAAGTAGCTGGCTACTACTCTGTTTCCTTGTGAGTTTTGTTTTGCAAACTTCTTTTCCTTCAATTCCTTTTCACACCATTCATTACTTCCACAGGTGTCCAAGATGATATTGCAATTTGGATTGCTGGAGATTTTATAATACTATTGGGTAAGCCGCGATGATTTGCTCTTACAATAATTATGAAGATAATTCTAACCTATCAAAATTTTCTTCAGTGCTTTTTTGTGTAGCGAAATTCGTAATCGGGACGCCATTTGTTGCGATATTTCTAGTCTACAAGTACCGAAGAAGACACTTAGCAATGGACAAGAACATTGAAGAATTCTTGCAAGCTCATAACAACTTTTTGCCCATAAGGTACTCTTACTCTAATATTAAAAAGATCACCAGAAACTTTAAGCACAAACTAGGTGAAGGGGGGTATGGTTCCGTGTACAAAGGAATGCTCAGAAGCGGCAATGAAGTGGCCATTAAGATTTTGAAGTCCAAGGCCCATGGCCAAGATTTTATTAGTGAAGTGGCTACTATTGGAAGAATTCACCACGTTAATGTTGTGCAACTCATCGGTTTTTGCTTTGAAGGCTCGAAACAAGCTCTCGTGTATGATCTCATGTCAAATGGATCCTTGGACAAGCACATTTTTGTGGAGGAGGGTGATAAGTTTCTTGATTACAAGAAAATATATGAGATTGCTCTTGGGGTGGCGAGGGGGATTGAATACTTACATCGGGGGTGTGACATGCAAATACTACACTTTGATATCAAGCCTCATAACATCCTTTTAGACAAGAATTTCACTCCGAAAGTTTCTAACTTTGGACTAGCGAAACTTTATCCCACGAATCATAGCATAGTTTCATTGACTGCTGCAAGAGGAACCTTGGGATATATGGCGCCTGTGTTGTTCTACAAAAATATCGGTGGCATATCTTATAAGGCAAATGTCTATAGCTTCGGGATGTTGCTAATGGAAATGGCTGGTAGAAGGAAGAATACAAATGCAAATGCGGAACACTCTAGCCAAATTTATTTTCCGTTGTGGATATACGACCAAGTCATTGAAGGTGCAAGTGTTGAAATGGAAGAAGTTGTAGAAGAGGAAAGGAAGGTGATAAAAAAGATGATAGTAGTTGCACTTTGGTGTATACAATTAATCCCTGACCATCGACCTCCAATGAACAAAGTCTTAGAAATGCTTGAAGGAGATATTGGTAATATTCAAATGCCTCCAAAACCGCATATTTA